ATAATAAATAGAATAAATGAAAGAATTAATAATTTGAAAAATATAAAGCAAACATAAAAAATACGTGTTCTCAAAAATACATTTTCTCTAATACTATTTTGCTTTCAAGTTATAAAAGGATGTACAATTTAAAGATGACCGCGATGATTTTTCAATAACTATTCGACAACTATAAACGTATATATCCATTTTATATGTTAAGAAAATTTTAAGATAATTCGATATATTTTGAAAAATTAAGTCAATCAGTTTAATATGCTCACTACTATTGTTTATTTGGTAAACTCCATCCCCACAGATCATCTCGTACTTTTTTATGTAATTGCATAAAACAAACTTAGTTTATTTATGTGGCCGAATGACAAAATTATTGCTGTCACACATATGTAATGTTGGTAGAGAACATGTTAAAAAAACAAACAAAAGTTTCTAACATGAAAAGTTTATAGCATAAAAAAGTTTTAAGGTACTTACCATTATAGAGATCAGTCTCATCAATTAATATTAAAAACGAAGTGAATTAAACATGAGAAAATGTCATTCAGAATAACTTGTCACGTTCAGTAGCCTTTGACCACCGATTGAAACAAGGTGCTTATTCTGGATGAAAAACCCTCCAATAAAAAAAGGATGATTAATAAAATAATGTATATTAAATGCATGTAATGGTCTTTTTGAAATAGTAAAACAATGCTGGTTTGTTAAACCAACGTATCTTTCTAGGATAGACTTTCTAAGATTTGCCATGTATGTAGTTTCCGTGAGGTCTGTCCTTTTTAGCTGAATTAGGTTGGACTTCCTGCCTTTAGAACGAAATAAATAAAAAAAATATATATAATCTATTGTTGAAGGGAATAAAAACAAAGTTCTAATGCAGCACTAGTTCAGCTTAAATGAACAGGTTTATGATATGTGTAACCAACTTGAGACTACTCCTCTATTAGTTCCCGTGATTCTTTATTTATTTTCGTTTTGAAGAATGACTTCTTCTCTCTTCTCACTATAAATTACAGATTCTTTCATTTCTTCCAAATATATATAAAAGGACCATATTTGATTCTAAATGCCATCGACTTCTAAAAAAATGAGAAATGTTGCAAATTCAGTGTCCGCAAATTTTCTATAAAAAATTACCTTACCTATATTATTTCTGAACTATAAACGGTATTTATAGTCAGATTATATATATTTAAAATTGTCTCAAGTTGATTTTTAAATGCTGTACAAATTGTTTCATTAATCATGATACATCTGAAGATGAACTCTATCTTAACACTTTGAAGCCTACGCCTTAAAGATGATTTATTAGTGGGATCCTAGACAATTTTGATGTCTATTAAAAAATTTTCATTGTTGATGTATGTTGTTGTAACTTAGCAACCAATATATCAATTTTAAGTGTGAAAAAAGCACTTTAAAAGCACTTTAAAAGCAGAAACATATGGAATGGCAGTTGTCGTCTGCGCGCTACCCCAACCTATACTCGGGCTCAGGACAAAGAGTGTTAAATATAAAATCTGATTATGATACTTACATGGCAATTTAAAACCAGTTTAGTAACATTTTATGTTTACATAAATAACATAAAAATGATTTAATAATTTCTACTGTTGTAATTATGTGTCATATAAATAATTATTATTACTATACACATGTAACTCTAATGGTTTCATATAATATCAATAATTATCAAATTAATTTTCTACTGGTCATATAGACTACAATATTTATATAGGTGTTATTAAATCTAGTTTAAGCTGCTGTATAGAAATGTGTAAACATAACTTAATCTCCCTTCAGATTTCTAAACAATTGCTGAAATTAAAACTTGGAAAATCCTCACATGAAAACATTAAATCTATAAAACCTTCTTTTACTCATAGATAATTATTAAGAATCAAAAATCATAAGTAATATGAAGAAATAAAACACAAATTAAATCTCAGGGTGATGATGACAGAATATTCTACATCCCACATAATGTTTAACTCCTATTCCTAATTCTAATTCCTATATAGTGTTTAATTAAAATCAAGATGTAACAATATTTGGTAATCTATATTTCTCAATATAAAACAAAAAAAAATCTTGACACTTTAAAGTAAACGTCTAAGAAAAAAATATATAATTTATGTATTCTTTTCAAAGTAGATTACCATAATGAAAATCTAAAAAAGGTAGAAACAAAGTTGTATCTTTATTAAAGTTAATTTGATTAGATTGTTTTGCATTAATTTTTGGTTAAGAACAAGAGAAAAATCAATATTCACAAGAATAAGAAATTTTTCAAGTTAATCATTAACAAAATAAAATAGAATTTAATATAATTCCACAAACTAAATAGATATGTCATACAGATTCTTTCATTTCTTCCAAATATATATAAAAGGACCATATTTGATTCTAAATGCCATCGACTTCTAAAAAAATGAGAAATGTTGCAAATTCAGTGTCCGCAAATTTTCTATAAAAAATTACCTTACCTATATTATTTCTGAACTATAAACGGTATTTATAGTCAGATTATATATATTTAAAATTGTCTCAAGTTGATTTTTAAATGCTGTACAAATTGTTTCATTAATCATGATACATCTGAAGATGAACTATAAAGTAAGATATGTCATATATTTGTTATCACATTATAGGAAACAATTGTAACAGTTCTAATATAAAGAATTATCATATTGCTACTTATTATATGTTGTAGTTTCTTAAGCTTTCTCATTTAACCATAAGCATAAGTAAATAAGCTGTAACATAAATAAGAGCCGCAAAACATAATAGAACTTTGAACTTTAACTGATACAAACTAAAAAGTAAACTTTAACAAATATAGCACTTGTTAATGTTTACAAATAATATATTATTTATTATTAAAGCTTATTGAATAATATTATGGTATTACCGTAGTTATTTTACTGGTGTCCGTAGATGATGTAGTACCAGATGGCACTACAGGTTTCATTAAGGATAACTTGGGGTTCATGTCTAATGACACTGACTTGCCAACAAGACTGGAAGTTCCTACTGATCCAACAATAGTCTGTGTCGATTGAATACTTTGAATACTGCTCTGAACCACACTTTGTACATTCTGTACATTTGGTACATTCTGCATTGTAGTTAAATTTTGCGCTACAGTTTGCACAGTTGTTTCCAGCAAACGTTTATCACCACTATTTACAGAGCCCAATGTTGTATTCATAGTTACACTGTTAAAACAAAATGAATAATAAAAATTAATTATCCATTAATTGTGCCTAAAGTTCACTGAAAAATTACACGTCCTAAATTATATGCTAAAATATACCAACAGTTTGCGCAAATAATGGGATAAGGTATAAAGCAATATTAAATTTATCGCGTCCGCGATACGACGTGCCATAAGCATGACGTTACTCACTGTATGTATCTCGAGAGTCAAATAGTTTTGGAGGTTACACCGCTTCGTTAACGCAGGGTTGAGAAATTCGCATTTGATGAATATTACGCAGTGGCCTATATATCTTACACATTCTCAAGTGAAAGGACGAGTTTTACGGAACAAAATAGTGGTTTTGCTTGTTTCGATCTGACAGCAGTCAGTATATCGTTAACGAATGTTGCCTGATACAAAGATGCATAAAACCTGCGTGAAAAATACGGAAACGAAAAAAATATTATCTAACTGTTCATTCACTCGCGCACAAAACTCTCGGATGCTAAAACACCTATTTGACGTTACGCCGCAAAAAACATTTTTCAATCTCTGTGAAACACTCAGCATCGCTATAAGTTTATAGCGCCTGCATACGCGTTAAGATGAGTACACACCATTGAACTCTATAGGTTGGTCTGTTATTTTTAGTTGAACTGACCGCACTGGAGTTGCGTTCGGGAATCCACACTGTGTGCACAACACTAGACACCAGCTGTGCTGAAACACTCATGTCCGTATAAATAGGTCTGTTTTGTTTCGAAATACTTTCTGCACTAGTACACACCAGTGCAAAGGGTTTACCCTAAAGTGTTCTTTTTATCGAGAATGACATTATCATGACATCATCAACGCTGTTCGTTTTCACAGTGCAACATCATGTAGTGCAGACAGTTTAGTGAACTGTTGCACTGAGGTTGCAAGAGGTAATAGGTCTGTTTGTTTTCGCTGCACCGCTGAACTAGTGCAATAAGTTGAAGCGAGACAAGTATATGTTTTCTCACTTCAACTTATTGCACTAGTTCAGCGGTGCAGCGTAAACGAACAGACCTAATGTGGTCAGTGCAGTACATGAAAGTGTAGCTTGGAAGTGCATGTAAGCGTAACGGAAATTTATACGAAAAGTATCAGGTATGTGGCTTGCATTATATTGAAATGTGTGAAACATCTTCTTTATTTCATTTTCAAAAATTGTTAATATTATACCATCACACACACACATATACACAGCAGAAATGTCCAAACATACAACAAGGATGAATTTAAGATGTCAAGATATTTTTATAATTTTATATTTATATTTAGTCATTTATTTAAATTTATGATCGGTAGGGTATATAATATGATAAATTATTAATAAATTCGCTATATTTAGTTGTATATTCATCATTTTCATCATTCATCATTTTCATCTACAATGGGTTGTAATAGTGGTTGTATTACAACAAAATCCTCTTCGTCGGAAGAGTCAAATAATGCCATGTGATGCGCCATGTTGTTTACTACACTCTGGAGTTTNCGCTATATTTAGTTGTATATTCATCATTTTCATCATTCATCATTTTCATCTACAATGGGTTGTAATAGTGGTTGTATTACAACAAAATCCTCTTCGTCGGAAGAGTCAAATAATGCCATGTGATGCGCCATGTTGTTTACTACACTCTGGAGTTTCAGCGATGCAGTGAAAACGAACAGACCTCTTCATTACACTTTTGCACTGAACTGAACTATTCGGTACTAGTCTTTCCCAGTGCGGTTCAGTTCAATTCAGTATAGTTCTAGTGCAGTTTTAGTGTAGCGAAAAAAAACTGTTACGTCCACGATAGATAACTATATAGGGAAATTTGAAAGTAGTAAAATCAGTGACTTACGTGGACGATCAACAGAGTGATGACTCCGCTTTTAGGTCACTCTGCTTTTCATCGAGTTTACCCTAGGTCTCCGGAGTCTGGCGAAACGATCGATGAATCTGGTGAGAAATCAGAGCCGTTCGTTCTCCTGGCTCGGTCTCGGATGTTCCGGCGCTGTGTGGAATGCGGTCCGCGATTCCAATTTCGATTTCGTAACTTTCGAGAAATGAGAGGTAAACAAAAATAATTGTTACACAGTCGGATTTTACGACTAATATATTCTAAACCATATAAGTACACAAGTATCAAAAGCTAATCACGAGAAAAGAATCGTCTTTGCAACGAATGCGCGCGTTTTTATGCGTTGCTTTGTCGCTGAGAGTCGTTTTCTGGTTGGTTGATGGAATCGTGGAGATGGAAGAAATTCATTCCATCGGTATGATGTCACCGCGTCGATATCGCCGCGTCGGTCCTGAGTGATGTTTGGATTTAGGTTTCATGCTCCTGTTTATGCTAACAGCGGGGTGCCTTATCGCATTGAGATTACGGTTTCTCTTGTCTATAGTTGATCTCTCGATTTTAAGGCTCTCTAACGACACGTCGTTTCTTTGGCGTTATAATTTTAATTATAATATTTAACGTGTGCGAATATACATATGCGCACGTACTTACATCTAGTAACATAGGGATACCTGGTGAATATCTAACCTAGTGATATCTGAAATCAGACAAGTCGGCCTCCGATCTATACTAATATATTATTAATGTTTCAAAATAAGTCCGGACGTTACAAAACAGACCTTATACTACATAAGACTGTATATCTCTAAAGTATTAGAGAGTAAGAGTCTAAAATATTGGACTATGCTACATAAGACTGTACACTACATAAGTTACTACACGAGACACATTTGTTGAGAAAAGTCCTATTCGGTCTTTAATATTATTTAAATTTTAGTAGTAAGTAAATTTTGATACGTATACTTCTGTTTTAATGGATTATATTAGTGATTTTGATATTTGTAATTTCCAAACTAAATTCAGAAGTCAAACGAGAATTTTTATTTTTAGGTGAAAAATGATGATCAACCGTAAACAACTAATTCGAACTTATCAAAGGAAAACTGCGAAGAAAACTTTTATAAATGTTTCATTAGCACCACCTGTCATATCAAGTGAAAAATATCATATTGAGAACAGAGATTATCTTACCAATGAAGCTTGTAATGATTCCACGATTCATGATCCATTTGAAACTACATTTGACAGACTCGCCAAAGGAGCAGTGTAAGAAAATTTACAGTGACAAGCATACTTAGTCTTAATTCTTTAAAGTTAATTCTTTATAATTAGAATAATAATACGAATATTATATATTTTTTATAGCTTATACTTATTATAAATATATATAAACTAAGTTTTTCTTATATATTTCTGTGCTGAAAACATCGTTCTATCTTATCACATGTTGAAGGAAGATATAACTATACTTGCAGCACAAAAGTTTATGAAATTAACTTAGCCATAGTATATTTAATTTATATTTTAATACAGTATACCTCCTTTACCATTGGATGTAAGTCAAAGTAATTCATGGAATAGTAGCAGTGACAATAATATAACCAATCTCGCAAAATCTCCAGAATATGTAACGTGCAATCTGTTTACCTATAATGATACATTTGGTTCAACACATAAGAGTGTTAAGCATATTTGTAAATGCAAGAAGTCACAAAAATATAAAACAAAAGTTATTAGAGAACAAGTGTATAAGGAGACAAAAGTAATATCAATAAAAAATAAGATACGATCAAAGGCAAAAATACAGGTATGTATACATATATGTAATACATATATATTTTTTTTTATATATGGACATATGTAATATCATACAGTTTGATTTGTTACTAATAATATGTAATAATAAATAGGCACAAAAAGTACAAACAAATAATACACAAAGACAGAAAATAATACAATATAAACTGAAAAAGTCTAGCTGCAAGTTCAATGAACGTACACATTGCTCTGATACTACAAATGATTTAAAAGATGCTGACCACAAAGATATTTTATATAACTATAACAATAAACAGCTACCTCAAAGTGTTTTTAAAATTAACGAAGATACTACTATAACTTCACAAACCACATCGAGTCAGGCTGACGATTCTACTGCAATTTTCAAACATACATTGAATCATAAAAAGATTAAACCATGTTGTGTCAAGTTAAACACTCACGCTATTCAAAATTGGCATATATTAAATCAGGAGAAAACTCTGAGAAATAAGAGAAATATAAAGCATTCATATAAAAGAACTTCACAGGCTAACAAGGATACTTTTAAAATACATGATATAACTTTGCCATCGATATCAATCGATCATAATGTCTCTGAAACATCGAAGCATATACGGATTAAATCATGTTCTATAGCATTAAGTGATGTTTATAAGAATTGGAAAGAAGAAGATGGGAAAAATAGAAAAGATTCTACCGATGTAATAAATGAGACGAATGTTTCATATTTAGTTCCCAGACAGAATTTGTCTAAAATTGTTTCTTGTTCTAACAATGATATCGATAGTGAGATATCTAGTGGAGAAAGAAATAAAACATACCTGATGAAAGATAATTTCGTAAAAGTGGAGAGATTAAAAACAGAAGAGCTTATTGAGAAAAAAATGAAAGTATTGAATGAGAAAGAAAAATATATGGCTTTCAGTACTCCTATCGGCAAACGCATAAAACAGTCTGCCTATCCGATATTGTCACCTATCAAGGGTATTCGCGACACACTAAATTCGAGATATGAAAATTTGATAACAATTGAGAAGGAAAATGTTCCCATCGAGATATTCCCCGGGCGAAAGGATTCTACTCGCTCGTTTACATCGGAATGTTATAAAATCGATATTAGAAATATGCAGAAACAACAGACACAAGTTTCGTCATCGTTTCAAAAACTAACAGAACTTGTTAAGGCCGAAACAATATTGTCCAGTAAAGATATGCATTCAGCTCTTATTCAACAATATAATACAAAAAACGATAAGATAACGGAAGTGCCGCTTTCTTTGAATATCTCCAGTAGTACTGATCGGTCGCGATCGTTATTTGACGATACATCGCATAACTATAATCGCTCGACACAGGATATCATTGGAAACGATATACAAAAGCAATGTGCTATGGACGCAGTAGAAAACATGTCGGTAGTCTACGCCGTAACCGGCGATTGTTCTAACATTCCATCAATAGCAAGTAATTTTGAGCATTCTAGAAATTATCCTAAATTGCTCGATGATACGACTCATCAACGATATAGCAACGATATAGATATGCAAGTACAAAGATCTGTTTTTCTCAAACCGGGCAAATGTTGGGCCAGATCTTTGTCAATTTTAAATAACGTAAATCCTGAGTCTAATTTAGACAAACTGTGTACCGGTAAAGGAAAAAAGTGGAGACACAGCGTTAGGGATATATTGGATATGCAGAAACAAGGTAGTGCACATATTGGTTAACAAATATTTTGTAATATATTAAGTGTAACAAAATGTCATTGGTGTAACAAGACTAGACTGTATTTTATTTTACTCTATTTTATTTATATCTATATAGATATATATATTTTTTATTTTAGTACTTTTATACACAGAATGAACAGAGGAATTGTATTACAAAAAAATTATTTCATTCTATTAAAAAAAAATGTAGTAAAAATTTCGTATATAAATATGTTAATTGAAAAATTAGCGTTTTTAATAAATGGGTAGGCTTTATAATATTTATAATTGCTTATGATAGGTCGTTATTATAATTGTAATAACGTTATATATAGGAACTTTCCGGAACTGCTTGAAAAAAGATCAAGATGACACGAAAACATTTTGTGAAAAACTCGATACATCAACTGTATTATCGTTAGGCGATAACAGATATAAAACTTTCGATTCAGCAAACCATAAATTTTCTAAAAGAATCTCAATACGAATTGTACCTATTAGCGATGCAAACATTAACGGCGATGTCCAAGATGCTCCATTTCTCGAAGCTTTTGGAATAACAACAGAGAATTCACCTTTAAAAGAGAATACGTTGGGTAAGAATTTTCCCTCTGTTTATATGTTTGTAAAATACGTATAATATTATGTCTATTTATATGAATTAAATTAATATTTACAGGTGGAAAAAAATCGATACACAATGTCGAATATAATGACAAAGACCGAACTTTTGAAAGTCATTTAACAACTGCAAAAGACATTGTTTTACAGAGATGTTCGCAAAAACACTATTTACCTTTCTCAGAATGCTTCCCAGATTCGTATGTAAATCTTAATACATGTAAACATGTAGTTGTTTAACCCTTTATGCGACGAGCAAAATTTGTGTACTATTTTGTATCCTAAACATCAGGGAGATAAAAATAACTCGATTTCGATGAAACTCAGTCTCGGAGGTTTTCTGGTCGCTGATTACAAATTTTATGTTCAGATTTCGCGCGATCTCAAATATCTCCGAGTACTGAGTTTAATTTAAATTAAGTTACTTATTGCATTTTGGTTCACCATATTAGACCCGCTATTTTGAATTTCTAAATTTTAAGCTCAGATTCATGATCAACGACCTCAAAAACCCCAAGATATCATTGGTAGTCAATATTATATGATCTTAAACATATATTTCACCCCGCCCATTATATGGCGGGCTTGCGGAGTCAAGTAAATGTTGCCCTCCAAATGGCGGGTTTGCCGTATAAAGAAAACTTAATGGCATTATATATAATTATTCAGTCTTTATTATTGTAGATATTTGGAACATTGTCGCAAAATTGGCGAAGGTGTTTACGGAGAAGTCTTCCTGTACGAACACGCTGGTGAGAAATCGGTTATAAAAATTATCCCTATAGAAGGTGAAGAATTGGTAAACGGGGAGTCGCAAAAAAAATTTAATGAAATATTATCGGAAATTGTGATTGCAGAGTGAGTATCAGTTCTGCGATTTTGCTGGTGAACCGCTAACGAATAAGTCACATCGATTGATTGTGAAAATATTTGCAGAGAATTACACAATCTAAGATTACACTCTACATATAGGACCGATGCATTTGTGGAAGTTCGACGTATCAGATGTATCATAGGCAGATATCCGGAGAAACTTGTGAAACTTTGGAATATTTACGATGACGACAAAACATCTAATAACGATTGTCCGTCAATGTTCGGGGAACATCAGTTGTATATCGCTCTTGAACTCGGTCACGGTGGCGAAGATCTCGAAGCTTTTGTTTTCCAAACCGCGCAAGAGGCTTATGCTTTATTTCTACAAGTACCGCTTATATGATTCATCATTTTTCAATAATCATACTTGATCACTCATTCATCAATGTTCAAATTTTCTTTTATAGACTGCATTGGCATTAGCAGTTGCAGAGAGGGCATTCGAATTCGAACATAGAGACCTGCATTGGGGCAATATATTAATATCAAGAACTGAAGAGTCGCACATGTATTATAATCTTAATGGGAGAGAAATAAAAATTCGTAGCAATAATGTGAAGGTACATTCCATCGAATAAAATACATTTTAGATATTGTTGCTTTTTATACTTTGCTTTTTTAATAATTTTGGTGCATTCATTTCAAGGTATCAGTCATAGATTACACTCTGTCGAGAATGTTATACCATGGGTGTTGCATATACAATGATCTCGCATTGGATCCGGATTTATTTATCGCTCATGGCGAATATCAATTTGAGATTTATCGTCTTATGCGCGACAAAATTCAGTAAGTTTATATACATTTTCTTAATTAGCTGTTTTATCAAACTTTTCACAACATTGATTATTTATGTAGGAATAATTGGCAGAAGTTTGAACCATATACAAATATTTTGTGGTTACATTACACCTTGGATAAAATGATAACAGCAGTAAGATACAAAAAGAAAAATCTGAGGGTGCACAAACAAGCTATTAATAAATTAAAGAAACTTAAAAGTACAATTTTAAATTATGATAGTGCGTACAATTTTATAAGTGACTCTAATATCGATATAAAAATACATCATTAATTAACCAACACTGGTACACGTGCATTATAATATTTACAAACTTTATCTCGCATTTAAGTTTATACATTATATATTAGTAATATTAGATTTTTGTTTAAGAGACATACAATTTTATTAAAATATGTATTTAAAAGTTTGATGATACTTATAGTTTCTCTTATAAAATTTAATAATAAAGAAATAAATGTGGCCAAGTTTCTAATGGCCATTTCCAAAAATTAGCAAATATGAAGTAAAAGTAAATACATTATCATACGTGCTATAATTTTAAACTGATATTACCATGAGACAATG